GAGTAAAGGAAGCCATTTTGTGAAGAAAAACCGTCCACCGTTAAACAGAGGTGGAGGCCTTTGTGTCCAGTTGTCCTCCTGCTACAATACTGTTTTTACAAGTATGACTCAGACCCCCTGTGAGCAAAAGGTGTGAATCAGGGCCCCAACGATAGTCAGGTGATGGGGCACATTATCCTCTATGAAAATAGAGCCAATCAAGGCACTAACGACCTATTGTTTGACTGATGGCCCTCTTTTGCATGTGACCAACCGGTTTGTCCATCATGTGGAGGCAGTGCTTGTAAGGCTGAATTCACCTGAAACTCAGACTGAAGAAGTCTCTTGGACAAGAGAACAATCTGTATTGTTCGATACAGGTGTGCGTTGAACTTAAAGCACTGTATTGAACAGTTCAATAGAGATACATGTATTGTTGTAGCCCAACACAGGTTTGCTTTGAAATTCTGTGAAATGACAGTCCCAGTCTCCCCCCCCCCAAAAAAAAATAAATAAATAAAAAGCAATATATACATTTTTTAACCTAATAAAGCACTCAAAGCAGCTCTTAGAGCCTTATTGGTAGACCAGACAGAGATCACTGGTGGGCTGGATGTGGCCCATGTACCTTCAGTTGACCAACCCTAATTTAGACATTTACATTTTTTTAAAATGTTTGACGCAAAATGTGTTGAGTCATTGAATTTGCATGAAAAAGACATGAGTGAAGTGTTTTGGGGACATAAAAGATGCAAAGTATTGTGTCATATATGATAGTTTATTCATGAAAACATTCAGCAAACGCTCAAAAGTTAATTTTTGTTGTTTTGTTTACAGTATTTACATCCATAGACAAATCTCTGGACCTTCTCTTCAAAACAAAAAACGAAAAAAAAAAAACATCGTCACGAGTAGTTAAAAATAATTTATCTGTTAAATTGTCAGTGGTGCTCAAACTATTCAAAGGTGGTCTTGGTTTCTGTACAATTTCCAAAACAATATTGCAAAGTAAATAAAACCATTAAGGCCACCCCCACATTGAATAGTTAGTATTTCTATTTAAATTTCCAATCTAATAAAATTCAACTTTAAAGTGATTATCGTACAAATGATACAATTTTAAACAGTTAAGTAGATTTTTTATTTTTTTTTACATTTTATTGCATCTCAGTTTTTGCAGACTGGTTGCTTCATCTGTTAACCAACAAAATATTCAGTCTTCATGTTTTAGTTCACCTTATATGAAGCAGATTTAAAACTGTGGTCTCAGATTTTAAGCTCCTTAAGCCCTTTTAAACTACACATAAAAAGTCCACCTGAAGTTTGTTATGTAGAATTTTGTTTTTAGCAATATAAATGTAGGTTAAAAGTGAGAAAAAGTAGAAGTTTGTCCACATCCAGCTTAAGATAATGGATGGGATGTGTTTTGAATTGGACTGCAGAGGGACAGACCGGTGGAACCAGCAGACTGAGGAGATTCAGAGGAAATGAAGGGAGGGAGGGAACCTACATGACAGAACAGCACTGGCAGGTTTTATGTTTGGGTGACTGGTTCTCGGTCTCTTGGCTCCTGGTAGTCGGGCTCAGGGTTTCTGCGGTGACGGGGTTCGGTGTTGATCCGGCAGAGCTAACTGTGCAGGCCTGGACTTTCAGCAGAAGTGGTTCCTGTTCGCCTGGTTCTGCCTCTTTCTTTTGGTTCTCTTGAGGCTCAGTCAGGGGCACCTCTTGGAACTGACTCGGCTGACAGGCACGGTTTTCCACTTTTACTTCTGCTTCTCCTTCCACAGGAGTTGCCGAAGCTTTGTCTTTGGTCTGAAGCTCTGCTTCTGGACTGAGAGCGGAGTGTGGCAGCTCGCTGTAGACCGGTACCGGAGCCACCGTGGTTCCTTCTAGAGCACTGGCTGGTGACTGAAGCTGCACGCAGACCGGATTTTCCATTTCTCCTTCTTGGACTTCAGTCTTTGTCTCCTGTTCTTCTGCATTGGTGCTACTGGACTTAACGCCACCCTCCACATCCTCCTCTTCAGCTGCTGGTTGTGCTTCCACCGTCAGCTCACTTGCTTCGCTCTTCTCTGAGTCTGGTAAAAGTTCTGGAGCMATTTCTGTTTCTCCCTCCTGCTCTAAAACCTCTCCTGCTGCGTTGCCTGCCTCTGAATGTGGCAGAGAGGCTCGGTCCGACTCCTGCTGGTCTTCTTGTGAGGAGAGATCCTCGGGCACATCATCGGCTTCATCTGTGATGAACACAGGCTCTGCTCTCATCACCAGAGTCCCTTCTTCCTCCTCTTCATTAATGCTGATGTTTGGACCTGATGCTGCCTCAGTAATGTTCATCTCTGGCTCAGATTTTATGCCACCAACACTTTTAAAGGCTTTGACGGGCCCATTTGGGTTTAAAACACTCGGCTCTGAATCATTATGAATACTGTTTTCTTCCAAACGGCCCTGACCGTTGGTTAGGACAACTGCAGCTTCAGTCTCTGCTGGGATTTGGGTTTCCTTCACATCAGCATCTGATGTTTCTAAAGGAGAGAAATAAAAGCGTCAGCAAATGTTTTGTACTCTCTTCAATGCAGACGTCAGTTGGTTTTATTTGAAAAAACTTAATCAGTTTGCATCCAAATTTCTTTTGCACTCTACTTAATAAAAAAAATGCAGAATTTAGTGTTTTTGATCTGAAATGACAAACTTGTTTGTGCTGGTAAATCTGATTAGGTGGTTGTTTTTGTGTTTTTAATGGATGCTCTTCTCTGTATAGTCTTGGAATGAACCTGGCAAAGATTTATTTTTCTCTTGGGAGATGTGCTGCTGATATCGAAGCTGCAACCACAGATAGGTGGAGAGCTGGGCTGATTTGCTCTGGTTTAGCATAGAACAGAAACAGCCTTTGTTGTCCCACACAGGGAAATTCAGTTGCAGTATCAGCAGTAGACAAATCCACAGAAACAGCAAATTGCTATGTGACATTATCAACTGTAGATAGTAACAATAAAAAATAAACAAAGATCAAAATAAAATAAGAATAAGAATTACTGTACCGGACTATCAAGGTGAAATTAGATAAAAATGGAAATTAAAGCAAGCTACTCTGCAAAAACATATGAAATTACAGGAAACAACAGTCACGACAGAATCATGAGGGGGTGTGCAAATTGATTCAGACTCAATCATTAAGTCAGTGTTCCAGTACAGGACAAATGATGTACAATTCCCACTGGTTATTGTTTATGTAATGATTGGGAGGTAGAGTTGTTTAATGTGTAAACATGGATGCTTATCAAAATTGTTGCGAGCAGAAATGGTTGCACACAGCAAAAACTGTCCATCTTACCAAGTTTTAAAATCTTATATCCAGCCAAAAAGTCTTTTTGATCTTATTTTGAGACTGATTTACTAAACAAGAACTGATTGTGTAAAAATTATAATCTTGTTTTCAGAATGTGTAAGATTGTCTTGTTAGTCTGAAAATTTTACTCAAATTAAGTGAAAATTTTCTGCCAATGGAGTAAAAATTTTACTTGGTAAGATTCTTGAAATACTTGATTTGACTCACTTTTTCTTATTTCAAGAACCTTTCCAAGTAAAATTTTCTTACTCCATTGGCAGAAAACTTTCACTTAATTTGAGTCAAATTTTCAGACTAACAAGACAAATAATCTTACACATTCTGAAAACAAGATTATTATTCTTACACAATCAGTTCTTGTTTAGTAAATCAGTCTCAAAACAAGATCAAAAAGACTTTGGCTGGATATAAGATTTTAAAACTTGGTAAGATGGACAGTTTTTGCAGTGTAGAGTCTAACAGCTGATGGGAGGAATGATCTGCGGTAACGTTTTGTGCATTTAGGACGCAGCCGTCTGTCACTGAAGGAGCTCTGCAGATCAGCCACAGACACATGTATTGGGTGGGAGATGTTCTCTGTCATTGATGTTATTTTTGCCAGAGTCCTTCTGTCTCCTTCTGTTTATTAGTTACTAGCAAGATTTTGCATACTTAACCTTGAAATATTTGACATCACAAGCCTTCATTTGTGGGTTAAAACCTGAAAGTTTTGGGATCTGAACTAAAGGACAATTGGAAGCTTTCTTCTTAAGTGGAGGTGGGAAAAGCTTGTGGAACCAGAATTCACCACTCAGTTCAGYCTCTGTGCAGTTTTTCAACAATCATTATCAGAAATACGCCAACATTTCCAGGGATTATTCACGTGTAAACCGGGTCTGGTTTTGTAAACGTTATGGCCTGCTGATCAAAGTTGGTCCTCTTTATTTCCAGCTGTGAGGAAATGAACACCTCAGCTGTCACAATAAACAGGCCAGCCATCAAAACCGAAAGATTTGCAGAGGACCGCAGGCAAAAGGTTTTATTTCTGGGTAAATGACAGGTTGCCCCACACAGACTGGCCTATTCAGGTTATTCTCCCGTTTAGCTGCTCCGACCTGTCAGAGACTTCAGCACCTTGTTACAATAAAAACAAGAGGCAGTAACAGGCTGTCAGAAACATCACACCTGACAGAAAAATGCTCTGAAATTGGATTCTCAATAACTTTTACAATTTTCTTCTTTTGATGCGACTGTCAGGAATGAGGCTCATCTTTTCAGAGGTACAGATAAGAAGATAAAAAAGGTTCAGGACCTCTGAGCTGGAGAGCCCGCCGGACACAGATTTAGATTCTGCAGCGTGGACAAGAGTGTTATCGACCTTAGCTGATTTGAATTTAAATAGATGGCTACATTTCATTTGAAGCACTCCCATTTCTACTTGTGGGCTTGAAAAGCATTTAAACTGACATTTAGCTCTACCTTCTGCCCTTTAAAAATGCAAGTTGCACACTCGAGTGCCCATAACATTTACTTTACCTTCAAGGGATTATGTTACAGACTGAACTGTACATACAGCAAGCCCACGGCCCTCCTTTCTTTATGATGCAAATGTATTAAGAGTAATAAATGAAGTGCATAAGAACACATACATCCAGTACAGATTTCATGATCACTCACAGCTCGGCATGAAGAGGTAACAGTTTACATTAGCATGAGAAAGAAAAAAAAACTGCTTTGTTTTAAAAACAATGATAACAATAAATGCCAAAGATACATATTTTAATGTTGTACGTTTCTTTTTAAAAATGTTTTTTGCTCACCTGATCGTGTTACATCGACTTGTCCATTCTGCATAACATCTTGGATTTTCTCTGCAGGTTAGGAAAACAGAGGAAACAAACGAGTGAGATAAACTACTACAGAATACTGATTTTCAAATCAAAACTTTTGACCTTAAATTTTAGATGAAGGTTATAACTTTATGTGATTATCACATTCATAACTATGTTGTTTTGCCTTTTTACGTCTGCAACTCAGACAAATTAAATTCATTTTATTCAGTTGTAGTTTTTCATGTTGCTTTTATATTTCATATTGTTTCCTCAGACACTAGTTGCACTTGATTGTTTTAGTGCAGTGTTTGCTGTCTATTGTTTGTTGTGTTCCTTTGTCTTCATGTTGTTTTTGCACAAACACTTCCTGAGGGGAAAAAAAAAGCTATTTTGCTGCATCTCATATATAGCTGGAAAAACAACAAAATACAGTTGAGGTCTGTTGCATACAAACATGGTGTGTGATCAGTCTGTGACTCAGGTGGACTGTTACACCTTTACCTTACAAATCACGACTCACACATAGAAAATAAGGGGAAACATGGATGACGATGTAATTAAGTAAGCCTAGCATTAAAACAAAAAGTTGCTGGCTGCCAGAAAAGTGTAATTGCACCTAGTTGAATGTGGAAATACATTGAACAGATAATACATGTGCTAAAAAATAAAACAAGTGTCCAGATGGACAACAGCAACACTTTACTCTGCATTTACATGAACCCTGGATGATAAAGCTGATCAAATGCTTATGTCATTGTCTGGAATGCAAAAGTATTTTGTGCTTCGGCAGAAAAACTACTGAAATTCAGTTTCTTCATTTTGATTCAGCTTACCTGCGCCAGCCTCTGCTACTTTGACAGCTTCCTGCTGAGTAAAAGAAACAAGAGAGGAATGAAATGAGGTGACTTTGATGTGTAGCCAGAAACAAATTTTGAGACAAAACGCAATAATTCCAATTCTATTTGATCAATTGAAACATTTCCTCCTGCCGTACGAAGGAGCTGAGGTTTCCATCGTAACGTTTCCGCAGCACAGATGAGTCCGTTTGAAAACCTACAGGTGTGGATTCCAACTAAATGAAAGAGGCCCTGCATTATGCCTGGTCACAAGGGGGAGTGATTGAGCTGTAAACTCACAGTTAACACTTAGAAATACTTAAATATATAATTGTAACTGAAGCTTTTCTATTCGTGCTGATGAATCTTCAACCAAGGTGTACACGTGTGTTTTTGTAGATGCAAAAAATAAAATTAAAAAAACATACTGGATTAAAACACTGCTTGGGTTCTCAGAAAATCTCTTCTCCCCTCCAGCTAGCATGAGAAATTAACTGTAATTGTTATWAAAAATGGAATTTCCAAAACTCAAGTTTATCATGCTCACATATTGAAGAAAAGAGCGGATAACTGTGCTGTAGTGCTGTACCAAACGATTATTTTCTAATCGATTAATCTAACGATTATTTTTTCGATTAATCGATTATTCTAACAACAAATCTACAAGTTATTCTGATGTGAGTGCACTGGAGATTTAAAATGTTTTCAGCAAATTAACAAGAACAGTTCTTTAATATTGTAATATTTTCTGTAATAGTTTTTTCATGGACACAAAATATGCACTCTAGAGTCAATTCTTTAACAAAAAACAGCTTAAAAGATTTAACATCAATATAAAATCTCAACCAAAGCATATAAAATTCAACTAAAAGAAATATAGTGCAAGATGTTAACAATCTAACAAATGAACTAAATCATGCAAAATTCAAGTCACTCTCTGGAAAACCTATAATAAACATATAATAAACATTTATTTATTATTTTTTATTTAACATATTTCTCAATATATAAAATTAACAAATATCAAGACAACATCCAACTCTTTGTATTGTAACATCAGTTGTGTAACTTATTTCTTTAAGGTGAAAACTGTTGAAAACAACAGGACTGTTTTGCGTTATTACACAAATTAAAATCCAGCTCCACGTGTTTCTATTGATGTCATTTCCCTGCTAGAAGAATGTGTGATGGAGGTCCATAGAAGGTAAATAAGTTTAAATCAAATAAACAAAAGAGGATGTAGTTAAAATAAATGAAAGGTATTTAAGCTACGTTTTGAACATCCAGAACACGTCCAACACTTGTTGGCTGCTTGTGCTCTTTAGGTCAGACGTGTGTCGGGAAGCTCCTCTGTTGTTTGAGACGCTGGAGGAACTGTCTGATGGGGGAACGTGGCTCGACCTAACACCGCTCTCTGTTTAATGCTGGATGAAATAAAGAAAGTGGCGGTACTTTATTTATTTTGAGCAAGCGAACGTCATGTTCACAAGATAATTAATCCATCAGATAATTCAGAGGTGGTCTGTTCAGTAATTTTTACTCCAGGAGCTGCGAGGCTTGTTTTCAAGCTTCAGACTGAACTGAAGCAGCGGCTGCTGACGTCATTACGCTCTTGCGCGATGCTGCGTTCAGGACAAGCATGGAAAACTCACCACTCTTATGCCAATACGGTCGCAATGATGCATTTAGGTACCGAAATGGAATTGCGTGAACATTCACGTGGTGGTTATGTAATACAGCGAATCGATAATAAAAAATCTGCGTCGACAAATTTACATAATCAACGTCATCGATTATTTCAACTAATCGGTGCAGCCCTACTGTGCTGCTCTGCAAAAAATAAATCAATAAAATGTAATTTAAATTTTATAAAAACTAAGACGAGGTAAAAAAAGAGAAATCTGACTGCTGGTGAAAATTATCCAGGAGATCAAGCTCGTTGCTGTTGATGCAACAGGACCACTTGCATTCATAAAGTCCCTGCTTTTCAACAGAAGGTGCTACATCAAAGGTCCGCTGAAAGAGCTAATGCATTATGCATGGACCAAATCCACAGAGAAAAGATGTGGAGAAATTTTCTACCTAATGGAAAATGATGTAGGAAGCTTGTTCAACACATATTCCAGCCCCCTTTGTGTCCACACGGTAAGTTTGTGTGTGTGTGTGTGTGTGTGTGTGTGTGTGTGTGTGTGTGTGTGTGTGTGTACACAATTTCTGTACCGTTTCTTGCTCCTCAGCCAACCTCTGATTCTCTGGCTGCACACTGAAAAAAAGGACACACACGCATATGTATTAATAACAACGCAAATTTAAACTTAAAGAGCATAAGAATTCCAAAATATTTTATTGTACGATATTAAATATCAGATTCTATAAAATTATAAATTACTTTTAAAGCTGTGTTTTTGGGTTCAGAAAAGGGTTTTGTTGGGATGTGTGTGTGTGTACAGCTCTTTTAAATGTGACTGAAATCTTAAAGAATATTTACGGCCTTGACAAGTTTGACTCGCTGCATAAAGAAAAACAAATGTTGCACTTGTGATGTGTGCAGGTAGGATTTCCTTCTTATTTTGCGAGTTTGGTACTTAAAAAAACTAAAATTGCTTCTAGTGAAACAATACATAATGCACAAAACAACTAAACTTGCAAGAAAACAAAAACAAAAAAGCTAACGCTGCAGTTATAAATTACACATGAACTTCCAACTACGCAAAACGCCTTAAACAAGGTTGTCTGCTTTGTTAACTTATTACTCATCCCTTTTCCCTTACTTGAACACACACAAACACACACAGACACACATACTTGTCAGTGGGCTTTTCCATGTCCTGGGTCTGGGAGCTCCACAGAGAGGACCGAGGACTCTGGGTGTTTGGGGAGGTTGGGGATAAAGGGGTTCCTTCCATCAGCCACTGGTCCCGTAAAGACTTCCTCTGCAGTGAAGGGACAAACAAACAAACAAACAAACAAAAAAATTAAAAATAAAATAAAAGCAGTATTAAATATGGCACTAAACTGTCAGCAAACAGAACTTAAGCTTCATAAACAAAAAGCAACACGAAGCCTGTGGTTGAAAACTGGATGCAACAAAGCTGTTAGCGGCACACTGCTCCCACGTTTTGTTTGATTGTTTTTAATATTTTTGAAAATGAAATGAGTGGGCGTTAGGGTATAAAAATATAGATTAAATGTCAATATTAGTCATTTAAAAGTGTGTGAAAAGGTGGGAATAACTAGCAATATCACATTATCATTCTGTTTGCACTAGTCCAGCTAGCATACTTACACTTTTAGAAAGGTTTCTTCAACAGATAAAATGATATTTAATTCAATTCGATTCAACTCAATTCAACTCAATATACTTTATTGACCCAAAGGGAAATTCCAGTTCAGAACAACCCATTCAAGAGAGACAAAAAACAAACACACATGGGAAAAAACAGGTGCCCCATGTCCTGCAGCCATGAAGAGGCGTTACGCTTAGAGAAAAKAAAAAAGAAAAACCAACATGAGGATAGATGAKAATTTAAAAAAAAAGGAACATCATGCTATGTCCACTCAGGACACAATATGAGGTTACATAAAAAACAGAGCAAACATCATGGGGTAGGGGCTAGGGAATGGGGAGTGGGGGGAAACAGAGAGAAGGGGTCCAGTGAAGGCAGTGAGGTAAGGGAGGGTGTATCTGAAACTGTGACATGTTGTATATAATACATACARTATATATGGTCTACCACAAAAATAAAAGCTGACTGATGTCCACGTTAGCTACTTGTTGGTTTTGCTAGCAGGTTATTATTGAAACAGAATGTGCATCTAAAAATACATATTCAGATTGTATCTGAACAGTTCATTTACCAATAAAAGTTTATTTATAAACATTTACGTTTGTTCAAATTGTCCAGAGGGATGTTATAAATTTACCTGCAGTTCTTCATCAACTAAAAGTGTTTTAGAAATGTTTAACATGGTCCAGTAAGATGAACGTTCAGACTATTAAATCTTTTTGGCGATCTACACTCTTGTGTTGAACTAAACACATTTTGAATTTCAGCAATTTTTAGCCTGGCCTGGATACTTGTTTACTCCAAAGTTGACACATACTGTATTGAGGGGGAAAAAAAAGAAGAGGTGCTTACATGAATTACCTAACCAATACATGTCAATTTTCTCTGCAGCTCAGGAAAGAAGGCAGCAACTAAATCAAAAGATGATTCAACAAATTATTAGTTTAGGCGTGTGCACACGTATCCAACCAGCTCACTGCAGCTTATGTTGTGGTTTCACCTACAATTACRGTCCAGTTTGTACAGCATTAGTGTCACAGCAAAAAATGAAAAGTTTTAAATGGCTTCATTTTTTTACATCCACTGTACCTCYTTTCTGTAGCTGTAAGTGTCTCAATAGCATCTCTGTTCTTGAGCAGCTCAGAACAGGCCCGTCTCTGTTCCTCTGTGCTGGACGCAGCCCCTCTCCTCACTTCCCTGCAGCTCCAAAACCCAGCTGCTGCTCCTACTCATCAGCACATATTTCCACCTATACTAAGGCAGGAGTCACGAGCGAAGCTCACAAACAAAACTAAAGGCTTTAATAACAACACCTCCTGTGAGAGAGCAAGCATCAGGCTTGTCATTCAATATTTACAGTCTGATGCAACTTCTGTTAGTGGGATTGCAATTCAGAGGCAGAGAACCAAGTCATGCAAAGAAAAAATGCCTGCGTCGACAACACCCTCCCACCTGATCCCACCAGAACACACACAAGCATGCCTGCAGAAACCAAAAAGAAACAAAAACACGTGCAGCAGACATATGTGAGCCATCAAATCGTAATGAGGATTAAGTCAAATTTGATTAAAATGACCTAATTACATTTTCAGATTCCGGGCTTTAGAAACTACATTTTGATACCTGGATCATTCTCATATCAAAAGTGGATCCAGAGATATGACTTAATTTGTCTTGTTGGTTACAATAATACAATAATATTTGGTCTGAATCCTAATTTTATGTAATTTTAATGAGGAATTTTAATGTCATTATAAAGAAGAAACTTCAAGTAGTATTTGAATATTGAGATTTCCCAGCCGGAAAGAAACAAAAACATTTTATATAGCTCACACATAGCTTACATAGCTCACAGGGAAAATCTCAAAATTTTAAGGCATAGTTCCTCAAAATCATTTCTTTTTTGTTGCTACGGCCCAAAAAAGTGTTTCAAAGTTTGTTTAATGATTATATTTCAGACAGTTGATTCAAATGATACATTGGTAGGGCATCTATTCACTGTTTTGACAAAATGCAATTTTTGCAAGCATTTTAATCAAAACACCATATTTGCATATTTCTCCACACTTTTGGACTTAATCCTCATTTCGATTTGATGGGTCACATATTTCCTCGCAATTTAAGGAATGTGAGGAACTGTGCSTCGGGGCGGCAGAACACCGTGGAGTAGGAAGTGGGAACGCCAGGCTGGAAACGACGTGAAAACAATGGAGCCGCTCTGTGACTCGCAGAGCGAGGAAACAGTCACATAAAGCTGATTTCAGCAAAAGGAAGACCAGCTTCCGGGTTTCCAAGAAACCAGCAGAACCAGGAAGAGAGGCAGGTTCCATTTACAGGACAGCGGTGTCTGCGTGTGTGTGTGTTTGCAGGTGATTTCCCTTGAGCAAAACGGTTTCAGAATTCATGTGTGCGACGAGCAGATGTGTGTCAGACCTTGAGCTGCTGTTGCCGGAGCCTCTCATCTTCCTGTTCTCGTCTGGCTCTGTCYTGCTCCTCCTGCAGCCGACGCTTCTCCTGAAACACACCGAGGAGGAAGAAAGAAAAAGAGAAGGCTTTAAAAAAAAGAAGAGACTTGGAAGGGTATTTTATTTAAAGAGTTAGACTGGCCTAACAATGGCCGGCAGAAATGACAATTTAATTGTTAGCAAAAAGTTTCAGAGCCCTGCTTTGTTTTGTTACCTGCCACCAAAGACACTTGGACAAACTCACACTGTGCAAAGCGGCTGTCATTATGGCAAGCTGGTTTTTGTTTTCAGGAGACCAGAAACACCCTTGCTCATCATGCTGCACGCTCAATAAAATATTTAAAATGACCAGACAGTCTCCTTACCAGCATGGTGTGTGTGTGTGTGTGTGTGTTTGTGTTTGTGGGTGTGTACTCACAGCTATGGCTTCCAGCCGCTGTTTGTACTGCTTGGTCTCATCCATCCTGGCACCTTTGACACAACAACAGAGGATCGAAGGTTAGAGGGCTGAGGTTAAACAAACACAGAAACCAGCAGGATCCACGTGTTTACAGAGTGTGTTGCTTTAAAAAAAGACACCAAGCACTTAGTGGTGCCGAAATGATCTAAACTCCCCGTGCTTTTATTTGGGAGTTTTTCCWATAGTGCAAAAGTTGTATGACATCAAAAAAAGTTCAAAGAAAAAGCAAAGAATCTGCAGTAGTCCCCAAACTACTGGAGTCTTATTTCTGCTACATAAARGACAAGAAGGCAGCTGATGAGTGACAACATAAACAGGCTCAGCCTCTGCGATCAGYAAAACCTGTAATTTGATGAGCATAAGGTAACAAGTGCCTTTCTCTTCTTTTATCTTCAGACTTTGACCCACAGTCCCTCGCCAAAAATCTCTTTCCTTCCTTTCCGCCATTAGGTTTTTAGTTTTGCCTTGACAAAGCCTGAGGCAAGCGCAGACAAACGTTATTTTCTCCTGCAGCTGACACTAAATGGGACAATATTTGAGCTCCCCAAAAACTCAGAGGTACATGAGAGCGTATGGTGAAGAGGCATACACAGTAAGCAACTGTCATTAGTGTGTTCTCGCAAAAAAAAATACAGCAACAATAAAAACTAACTCTGTTTTTAAAAGGAAAACTTTTTGGCTTTAAATAAAACAGCAAAGCTTCAAGAAGGAAAGAATTTATTCTTTTAACTTGAATGTAATTCTTTGCTAAGTTTYTAAAATCTTGCTGATGTAATCGGAGGTCATACCTCCATTATTAATGCTGATTCTTTTTTTGTGCCACAGAACTGAAGCATATCACCACATCAAAAGCCAACATCTACCTAGAAAACATGCCATATCAACACAAAACAGCTTCCAGACACACAACTAGCCACAAACGGGCAGTGATTTTTAAATGTTTGAATTCTATTTAAAATGATCAGCAGAGTTTTTTTTTTTAATTTAAACAGTGTCTTAGTGAGACTCAGAAGGATTGCAGTAACTCGGTGGTCTCTTGTCATCCTGAGGCTGCAGGTCTGAGCCCTGGTTGCTTCAGGAAGGGCATTYGGTTTAAAACATTTGGCAAATCTTTCATGAAATGTCGCTCGTTGTTAGGGTGCCTTTGTTGCCACAACTACAACAATGTCATCCAAAACTAGACATGGGTTTTTACRATGTAAAAACAAGTGTGCATTGCCTTGTAGCATGTCATTGCAGCATGGCTTTGCCTGCAGCATTSGACTTGCAGACTGAACTGTGACAAAGTTCAAATGTGTTTTCTATGGCAGCTTGTGCCTGTCAATTCAGCAGGTGATTGTAATGAGGGTATTTGTGCGACAATATGATGTTTGAAGAGATTTTTTTTTGTTAAATTAGCTGAAGCTGGGTTTTGAACCCTGATCTCCCATATGAAAGCCCATGGCATTAAACATGAGACCATTGGAGCTGTGGGAAAGCACAGTCCCAGTGGTTTTGTTGTATGTGTGAAGAAAGAGGCCACATTGCCAATGCATCRTTGACATTAAACTGCAATATATTACAGCAATAGAGCAATATTAGGACAATATTAAAGTAAAACATCTACTATAAGTTGTGAAGGCACCAAAAGGCATAGCCATCATTTGGCACAGAAGCTTTACAGATATAAATAACAATGAGAGCTGTAGGACAAACTGACTTGGATGGGAAATGAATCACAATAGTGTGCATTGCATTGGATGCAATACACACTGATAAGAGAGAAAAATACAACTCAAAGCATCACTAGCTTCAGTGTCTGCCCTTTGTCCTTTAATTTCAAAGGATTGTAAAATAGAAACTATGGTCGTGGGTGAGTTTACTTTTAAAGGGACAATATTATGTGTTTCTCAAGCATATAGTTCAGTTCTATACCAAAAATCAAGTAGCTACGTCACCTTCAGTTGTTATGGAAATGCTGTTTATGTGTATAAACCTAAAATGAATTGGACTTCACATCATAGCTGTTTCTAAACACCTTGAAATTGGTCTCTGTCTCTTTAAGAACCTCCTACCACTTCTGTCATGGCCATTTCTGCACATCATTGCAACAGCTTTATGACGTTTACAACCTGTAGCGTTGTTGCCTATTTTGTTGTAACTAGGGCTGCCACAATTAGTCCACTAGTCACGATTATGTTGACTATTAAAATAGTCGACAACTAATTTAATTTTTTTTGATGGGGGGATAAAGTTATGACATAAGTTGATTTTACATGATATTGTCCCTTTAACAGCAGAAAATGTTCCCTCTATTGAACTGGCGAAAATGAAAGGCCCCATCTAAACAGTGGAACTGACTTCATACAATAAAAATACAGAAACCTAAAATTGAGTGGAATAAATTTCACACATCAATGCTTGGCCACAGATACCATTTCTCCTAAAACACCCTCCCCATTCAGGCAGGCACCCACTCTACAAATGAGGTCTCTCATTTCTCCCCAGAGGGGGAACTCAGTACAGCTCGGGCTTTTGTTGCTTCTCCAGACTGGTAGATCTTCCAGGCCCTTTGAGGGTGTAGGTTATCACAAACAGAAAGCTCATCTTCCTGATGCCAGAAGGCTCCGTTCAGGCTTCCTCCAGGTGTGGGGGCAGGAGGTGGGGGGTCATAAAGGAGAAGGTCCTGCATAAAATGCTATGAAAGCGTGAGCGAGCTTTATTTGGAATGAAAAAACAACAAGGATGAAAGAAGAAAAGGAAAGAGAAAACAGATGGGGAATCAACTTTGAACATGCCTTTCATCATACTCCTTCCAAAAAAAGTTTGAGAGGAAAGAGGCGTGAATATTTATACACAATGCATATAGAGAAAAAGATTGAAAAGAAAAAAAAGCATATATTGTTCAAGAGCAATAGGGGTAAAAAATGACAAGATCTTTATATGGCAGGGATTTGAATGACWAGAGGTACTGTGACAGCTTACAGTAAACCTCCTTAGGGAGTGAAGGCTTGTGTCTCATCAGGACTCCAGGAGAACGCCTAGAATAGCAGTCTGAGATAAACAAGCAAACACAAATGGAGGCTTTGATGAGGAGGTATCGAGCCGCTCCCTGTAGACACACGCCGACTTCAATAATTAGGCGTGATCCAGGAGGAAGGWGATGGGAGGGCTGACAGAGTCAGAAAGTTAAAGAGACTGGGAAAGTAGACATGGTTTGAGTGAAGAGCAGCAGAGAAGAAAAAGTTGTAGCCACTGGTTTAGAGAGCACATCCCTTCATGCAGACATGTGATAAATGGCATGTTACAAAACATGGCAGAAAACACCAAGAGCTTTGAGAGTTGGAGATTAAAGAGAGATTTTTTTAAGAGAATCCTGATCATTATCAATTAATGTTTACAGCTACAACTGTCTTAATTGTATAAGAGGATAACATCTCACTGACAGCATAAAGATTTTATTTAAATAAAAACAAATACATATAAAAATGACATTAGGAGTGTATTAATCATAATATGTCATTTCCTGATGCTGTATCGATTCTCAAAAGCACTGTATCAAATTTTAATTAAGTCTAAATAAGTGGATGTTGTAATAAACATGGAATACAAATGCAGTTCTCATCGTTTTTCATTGTTCTTCTGATTGTACAAAAATGAACTGAATTTAATTGATTTTATGCATATAAAGCATGGCATGCTCTTTATCCTTTCTTTTGGAGAAAAAAAGGCAATGCTTGCTTACAGTATCGCAATATAATGTGATATATCATACTGTGGCTCCTGTGTTGTGAGGTTTCATATGACCAAATTCTTGACAATACACAGCCCTATTATTAATCGACTTAAACAACACAACTAATAAACAGTTGAAAAACATGTCTAAAAATATTCATTTTTATAAGGATTACTTAGCTCAGGGGTGTCAAACTCCAGTCCTCGAGGGCCGCTATCCTGCATGTTTTAGAGGTTTTCCAGCTCCAACACACCTGATTCAGTGATTGAATTAACTCTTCAAATTGGGCAGAAGCCTGTTAATCACCCAGTGATCAAAATCTGGTGTGTTGGAGCAAGAAAACCTCTAAAACGTCAGGATAGCGGCCCTCGAGGACAGGAGTTTGACACCCCTGACTTAGCTGTTCACATGAAAGTAAATACAAATAATCATGACAACTGGACATAAGTTCAGGATTATTTCATGTAAAATGTCTCAGCTCCTCTTCTGCATGAGCTAAGCTTGAAAAAATAAGTTTGATTCGTACCCTTTATCATTGTTGAGCTTTGGACAACTAATCAACAATTTTAGAGGAAAAGTCCCGACTTCTGACAGGTATCACAGAGGATCACAATAAMCTGAGGCAGGAAGCTTTCTGTACAGCATGAAGAATAAACCATGAGGGATAGTTTTCTCTAACTGTATGGGCTCAAAAAGATTAAAAAAAAAGGTACTACAAAAGACAGACTGGAAGAAAACAACAACATTATACCATGGATAGAAACTGACACACACTCATTTAAATTGAAATGACAGAAGCACCAACATGGAATCAGGAAGATTTAAAAAAATGAGAAAGAACGAAAAAAAGATAAAAAAACAACTCTCCTTAGGGAATGAAGAAACGTGCAAAGATGATGGATGGATGGATGGAACTCTCTGTATGATTCTTTTTTATTAAGCAGAGCCCACATTACAAAACAAATCACAAACTGTATTATGTTGAGGCATTTCATCTGACCATAAATCTCTGCAGCCTAACTGTGAATTTTCACACATCTCCAACCATCATCTTGTGAAACAGAAAAAGGACATGACTATATAAATGTGGAGTGGGACAGAACAAAACCAGCCCAGAAGCCTCGCCTCTGTCAGTCTCACTAAACCCGACATGCCTCAGAAGCAGGCGGCAGCAGCTAAAAACCAACAAGGCATACGGTCGTGAAYGTAACTCAGCCACCACAGGCCCAGATCATTTACATTACAAAAGCTTTGGCTTTTAAAACAATCAGTTTCTGCTCTACTTAAAACCAAGCA